TCATCGGTCTATGAGAGGGTTGCTCTTGGATGCACCAAAAGCTTACTTGAATGACCCTCATCACTTGATCCATATCCATCTCTTGGACCGAAAGCCTTTTGTCCAAGATTGCCTCGACATTACCCTTCTCGTACTCTTCATATGCCCACACCGAGAACTTTTTCTGGTTAGTCTCGGCTGAAACTTCGAAGTTCCTTTTCCCACTCGCTACTTCCAGCAACACCATCCCGAAACTGTAGACATCAGATTTGGAGGTTATTGGCAGGTTTGCGAGCCATTCTGGAGCCAAATATCCTCGAGTCCCTCTAACGCTTGTCAATGTTCTGTACCTGTGGTCTTTCGGGTTAATGAGTTTGGCCAGGCCAAAGTCGGAAACCTTGGCGTTGTAATTCTCGTCCAAGAGGATGTTCTCGGGCTTTATATCGCAATGAACAATGCAGTCTCGACATTCTTCGTGGAGGTACGTGATCCCCCTCGCGGTTCCCAGAGCGATGTTATATCGTTGTTCCCAATTCAGAAGTTTCCCCGAATGCTCAGAGGGAAAGAGGAAGTAATCGAGAGAGCCGTTTTTCATGAACTCATACACCAGGAGCCTGTGGCGTCCTTCGGAGCAAAACCCAATCAATCTGACCAAATTCAAATGGTGAGTGCTACTTATCGTTGCGACCTCCATCCTGAACTGCTTCTCGCCTTGCTCGATCCCCTCCAGCTGTTTCACCGCAGCAACGGTTCTATTAGCGAGAACCGCTCTATACACTGCTCCAAATCCCCCGGCTCCAAGCTTCTCCTTGAACCCTTTCGTGGCTCGGTGGAGATCCTTATAAGAAAATTGAACGGGAGCACCCGATGCATACTCGAGGAGCATGTACTGAGCTGAGAGCGCCCCGAACTTGGGACTATTTCGACAGCACCACCACCATAGCCCGCCCTCTAACAAAATCAAGCCCAAAAGCGTACACACAACCACAACCGCAACTACCCATCCCTGCACTCTCCCTCCGCTCTTTTTCCCAGCACCTAAGGACGCTCCACCGGGTGGATTAGGTAACGGCGTCCCACAGACCTTCAAGAACGAAGTGCTGGGAAGCGGGGTGGACTGATACCCACTGACAAAACTCGGTTGTTTCAAGTAACAAAACCCCGTCCCATCTGCCAACGAAGTCGAAGCTATACAAGCACCATTTACAAGACAATTAAGCCTGCAAGCCGAAATACCAGCCGAAAAACTCTGGCTTTCCAACTCGGGAGGATAGGTCAAGAACATAGCATGATCCAACTGCAACATACTGGCATTTGAAGAACAAGTCGATAGCTCCACTTTCCTCTTGCACCCTTTCCGGCCATCGTTAGGGTCAACCGGCTCGAAATTCTGTGAAGGGCAACCGCAGATTGGACCAGAATCATTGTAACTGCAAATCCCCAAATTCCCACAATACCCAAAAACCTCACATTGATCAGTCAAAGCAGACCATCTCGCAGTCTGATTCCCACTTCCCTTTGTGGAACTATAAATCCTGAGATTCCCATCCCCATCTAGCTTCACAAATCTCAGAATATCACCCTCGTCGGCATAATCGCTACTATAAAAACGGCTCACGGGGCTTGGAAGGGTCGGGTCAAATAGCGATAGAATACCAACTGGGAGCATACGCAAACTAGGGTTACTCAAGTTCAGATTAGCAGAAGAATTCAACCCAGAATTATAATAAATAATACTATTATTCCACAGAAGTGTTAAATTCCCATGTCTCTCTAGCTTAAAGGTGTAATTCCCAGACTTTAAAGATTTATTCAGAGTAAAATTTTGCGAAGGAACAATGGTGTCGGTGGGATTATCGAAACTAGACCAAATATTCGGAACGGTGGCGTTTCCGAGAATGAGATTACCGGAGTTGTCGAGGCGGGCGAAGGATACGCCGCGGCCGGCGGTGTTGGAGGTCCAGATAACGGCGGGAGCCAGTCCAGCGCCGGAGGTGAGCTGAAGGTCGCCGTTGGAGAGGAAGCGGAGAGCGCCGGAGGAGTCAACGGCGCCGGAGTCGCCGCCGGCGTTCCAGATGGGGATTTTGGCGTCGTAGGCGATTGCGGCGAAGAAGGAGTTGGGATCCGCAGGGATGAAGGAGAGAGTAAAGGTGTTGTTGGGAGATGGCCACCGGGAATTCGGGTCGGATGCGAAGAGGGTCGACCCCGGACGAATATCCGCCGCTTCTACGACGGCTGCTCCTCCGATGAGAAGAATACAGAGAGAGATGACAACAAGTGCTAGTGGGTTCATTTCTTTCTCTCTCTCTCTCTCTCTTCTTTCAATCTCTCTATACATACACCATTAGAGTGGGTGAAGGTGGAAGACTGGAAGAGGAAGAGGAAGACTTTGGTGGTTCAGAAAATGGTCATACATACACATCCACCATTTTAGGGGCTGTGGAGTTCGGAATGCTGACTGCTGAGACGACTTTGACTTCTAGATTTCATATTCTACCCCAGATTATAAATATATGCACAGAAAATGTTGGACTACAACTAGGATTACATCCTAACACTCCCTTTAACTTTATATTTAACTGATAACTTAGAAGCTTGTCTCGCAAAAATGTAGATCGTGAGATAGGATGTTTGGTAAATATAATCTTTGGTAGAAATAAAATTCATTTAAAACTCAATCGAAATTATTTTGTCTCGAACAAAGTGATAATTGATCTTCACATATTTAGTGCAGGCATAAAATACAAAATTAGCACACATGCAGGTGGCTTGAGATTATCACATCACAACTTGGGCACTGGTACCTGATTAACACTCAACTTACGCAACAACAAAACAATCCAGTGACCTCCGCACACATATAATCCAAAGCCTTATATTTCACCTCTGTAGAAGACCGGACCACCGTTCTCTGATTTTTACACACCTATAAATTAATTGGTCTAGAACTTTTCTAAAAATCGATTAAAAATATGGTTACTAAAGATAAGAGGTTACCTACAATTCTAAACTAATTAAGTTGGTTGAAACTATAAAAATAACAAAAGACAAAAATATCCTTACTAAAAATATAAAAAGTCATGAGAAAAACTAAAAGTGTCCAAAAAATAAAGAGATCTCTGATGAAATTAAGTTTACAGAGTATGATAATAAGATTATAAACAACTACTCATAAGAACTACTTCTTGTTGCAAAAACACTTATTTATTAAATTAAAAGCACTATAACAAATGTAACCGTCGCCTATAAGAACATCATTATCAGTGAATTTTATGGAGTTTAAGTCAGCCAAAAGAACTTGGAGTTGATGTTTTACTCGTGGTAATTGGTTTATAGGTAAGTTTTTACTCCTGCAAAACAAGGGATCTTGTCAGCTATTTAAAAAAAAAAAAAAAAAAAAAACAGAGCAAGTGCACTTGGCGCGCACTACCCGCCCCACCGTGTGTGTGTATCCCACACGCTCAATGGAGCGCTTCAGGGTGGTTGCTAGCTGGCCGCCACCCTAAACCAGAAATGACTTTTTACTTTTTACTTTTATTTTTATTTTTATTTTGTTTATTTTAACGTTTGTCATAATTTATTTAAAAAAAAAAACAAATTCTCTCAAATTTTTATTTATCCTAATCACAATTATAAAAACTTCTTAAAAATCGTAAAAAAACATAATTATTATGGATGCTTTAATAATTGACAAATTATGCTGTGAAACTGTGTAAGGTGGACACAATTTCACCGCATAACGATTGCTAATTATTGATATATACTCCGTATCATAAAATGATTAGAAACCACATGCTCAAAACTCGCAAATTATACTGTGGACTCGTGTACACAATGCATTGTGGACACGAGTCCAAAACGGCGTCGGTTTAAGGAAAAACGCGGCATTCGAGTTAAAAAAAATTGATTTTGTCTCGCCATAACGACGTTATTCGTTTGTGGCATTATGAATGTACAGTTATGCAATTATGAATGTACAGTTATGGAATTATGAACACATAGCTCTGACATTATGAACTTACAATTATGAACATATAGTGATAAAATTATGAACATATAGCTCTAAAATTGTGAACATAGAGTTTCGAAAATTATGAATTTACAGTTATTGAATTATGAATGTACAGTTACGAAATTATGAATGTACAGTTATGCAATTATGAATGTACAATTATCCAATTATGAACACAGAGCTCTGACATTATGAACTTATAATTATGAACATATAGTGATAAAATTATGAACATATAATCCTATAACAACATAGTCTGAAATTTAAAAAAAAAAAAAAAAAGTGAAAGAGAACGATGCCACTAACGACAGGCAAATTATATTATGCACCATGCGTCTTTTTTTTTAAATGAAAATAAACAGTGTTAGTTTCCGCCGTTTCGCACCCTTTTGCAAAAAGTAACTCTGTTATTCAATGTCATTTTGTATACACTGCAGTTTCAGTTCAACACAACTACAGTTTCATTTCGATATAACTATAGTTTCATTCGATATTTATAGACTCAAATATGTGAAAATGTTATTTAATTTTATTTTATATACACTATAGTTTCATTAAAACACAACTACATGATTATTTTGATATAATTACAGCTTCATTGTACAATATACACTCAAATATGTGAAATGTTATTCAGTTTCATTTTATATACACTGCAGTTTCATTTCACTATAACTACAGTATCATTTTGATATAACTGCAGTGTCGGTTTAGATATACTATAGTGTCAGTTGGTGTTTAATACACCAAATAAGCGGACTCCGTTAACTCTAACGGCGGGCCGTTTCTTCACTTAAAGAAACAGCGCCGTTTTTGACCGTGGTGCACATACATCACGGTCTATAATATAACGACTGCTAACGACATTGTTAGTGTGTCCAGCATGCAGCATAACGATTGCTCAAAACTTAAAAAGGCCCAGTACATATACCAAATAATTATTTTTAAACATTCCCTGATCTGGGCCAAACCCAAACCCGAGTACAAAAACTAAAGAAGTAAAAGGGAAAAACCCTTCTCAAACCATTCTGCCTTTTCCCTGCTCTGCGGCGCTGCTGGCACGAAGCAAACGACCGGATCGCCGTCGCCTTTACCTCCCACCGCCGGAGCACATTGCAACAACCTTCGCCATTTCCTCCCTCTGCCGTAGCGCAGTCACCGGTAGCGTCAACACCACCAGGAGCGCTGACAGCAGCTCCCAACGGTGCTACTGCCAGGGACGCCGTTCGAAACGGCCAACGGAAACACCACGACCAGGCAGAAAATAGAGAATTCCGGCAGCAACCAAAATTCGTAAGGTATTTTCAATATTTTTTTTTTTTTTCTCGAAAAAATGTGTATTTCGAAAAATAAATATATGCGAAAAATTGTACTGACATTCGGACAACATACATTTTAGTTCGCAATATACATACGCCCATGTTCACAGTGAATTTCAGATACATAGTGAAATGCAAGCATTCATCTCTTGCATAAAAGCTTTATCTATACACTGGATTTATTGCAATTTTCTACAACCAATGAATTCCGTTTGTTTATTATACTTTTAATTTCCAGTTTCTACAACTAATTTCCCACATTTTTCAGTTTTCTTAGACCTAATAATTTTATTTCGATGTATTACTTTTCTAGTAATAATACATTGTTCTTGTCATCTGATGGCACTTGAAGAAAGTGTGGATTTGATTGAACTGACATCTTGATAATTAATCCTCAAAATTTCTATGGTTTTCTGTGAGTAGGAAGAAATATGTTGGAAGGTGAAGGTAATCCTACTTTAAACAAGAAAACAGGATTGCCTCGGAAACGATTTTACCGTGCAAGGGCTCATAGCAATCCGTTAAGTGATTCACATTTCCCAGTACCCATTTCCCCTGCTCAGGTGGACTATGTTTCTCATTACCCAAAATTATCAGATGGCTTAAAAAAGATTGAGTTTGCAGATATAGGGTGTGGATTTGGTGGCCTTTTGATTGCTCTTTCATCACTCTTTCCTGATACGGTAATGGTTGGAATGGAATTGAGGGATAAGGTGACTGAGTATGTGAAAGAACGGATTGTGGCATTGAGGGCAAATAATCCTGGCCAATATGAGAATATATCGGTTGTTCGAACTAATTCCATGAAGTACATTCCAAATTACTTTGAAAAAGGGCAGCTGAAAAAGATGTTCTTTTTGTTTCCGGATCCCCACTTTAAAGAGAAGAATCACAGGCGACGCGTGATTAGTCCTCACCTGCTAGATGAGTATGCTTATGCTCTTGCTGTTGGTGGTATTATATACACGATCACAGACGTGGAGGAGCTTGGGGAGTGGATGAAGTCGTGTTTGGAAGATCACCCATTGTTTGAAGCTCTCTCAAATGAAGAGCTCGAAGCTGATCCGGCTGTCAAACTCTTGACTACTGCAACCGAGGAAGGACAAAAGGTTGCCCGCAATGACGGACAGACGTTCCAAGCTGTTTATAGACGCATTGCTATGCGATGATTCATCATTGCCAATCTGTTTGCTGATTGCTCATGCGTTGCAGTTGCAGTTGCAGTTTGGACACTCATCTTGACTCAGCTAGGATGATAAGACTATACATTGTGACATTGCATTCTCTCTATATTATAGTGAATAGAACAGTTAAAGATTTAATCTTTAGCCACCGGAATAGAAATTCTGGAAGCAGCCTACTATGTCACTGCTTCAGAGACTCATTATATTCTGTTGTTCTTCCTATTTTATTGATATTTTGAATCTAATTTGGCTCTCATAGTTTTTCTTCTCAAATTCTGGAACTAGTTGGATGATGATAACCCCATATGTTGAGCATCTAGGTTTTAAGCAAGAAAATAAATAAACCATTGGTTTTTCCTTGCCACCTAGATAGGATCAGATGAGTTCTACTATATGTACTTTCAAATTTTACTCTCTATGCATTGCTAGGCTATTTTCTTCTTGTAGGCCGCTGTAAATGTGTTTACATCTAAATTTTAAGTGTGGAGGAAAAATTAAAGTAGAAAATGAGAGTACATATAATATTTTTTCTAGATCATATTGCTTGCCGAAGATGTTGAAAACACTTGGCTACATTATTTCGTTTATGATCACAAACTTTGCCACTTTGGTGCTGCATCATTTTTGATTGCCTGGCCCTCTTGTCACTTGTAATAAAGAAAAGCTTTTTGTTATATTATAGGGAGAAAATGTATTACAATATCTTTTTTTCAGTGAAGGATTTTTTTAAGATCTTATTGGAAATCTTGTTAATAGTAGATTGCATTCCCATTTGTTTTTCCAGTTGTGGAATCTCAAGACCTATTTTCAGTTTTGATGGTATGTCTTCTCAAACTAACCCTATATTCCCTCATGAAGGATTATTAATAGCCGTCCTCTAGCATTTTTTTTTTTTTTGGTGTAAACCACGGGATGTTTTGGGTCTTTCTCTGTTCGTCTTACAGTTTGGGCTCACCCGACTAATCCCTACCCTTTTCGAGAGGCATAGGAGTTGGCCTAGGGGGAATCGTCACTTGTTGAAATCAAACCTGCCCGCCCTCTAGCATTAAATAGTATAAATTACTCGCATTGGAAAGCTAGAAAGAGAATATACATTCAATCCCAAGGAGAAAGAGTGTGAGTTGCTGTAGAAGGAAGGGATGACAAAAGAGGAAATTAGAGAAGCTTATTACAATTCTAAAGCAATGAATGCCATTTTTGGAGCAGTAGATGACAAAACCTTCAATCGAACTCGCCATAGATATAGCAAAATTGCCTGGAAAATTCTTTCAGACCATCATGAGGAAAACCCTCTAGTAAAACAATACAAACTTCAAATAGTTCAAACCCAGTTTGAAACTCTAAGAATGATGGAAGAAGAAAACAATATTCAATTCAATACTCGAATACTATAAATTATTGGATTCACATACAACCTTGGAGAACCAAAACTAGTTATGAATGTATTGCAATCTCTACATGAGAGATTCATGTTGAAAGTCACCGCAATATAAGAGAGCATAGACCTACAAACAGAGTGATCCACACTGCAAATGGGGTAGCCTTCAAAACTAAAGAAGAACCAGATTTAGAAGATAATGAAAAGCCTAGAGGAATCAAGTTTTTCGACACAGCAATTTTTCAACACATTTGGAGACAAAACCCAAATCTTCCTGCAAGAACCTCAAACATTCACTCTCCTTCGTCTCTCTCCTCCACTTCAGCAAAAACATCCTCAAAAACCACCCCAATTACTCTATTGTGGATGCTCTAAGGAGTAAAACCAGAACTTGTGTCTCCACTCTAAGTGATGACTCAGAAAGCAATGAAGATAGTATAAGCAGTAATTTGGAGATGCACCTCAAAATTTGACATGCATAAACTCTTCAAAGCATACACAGTACTTCAACCTAAATGGGAAGAAAGTAATTTGGAGATGCACCTCAAAATTTGACATGCATAAACTTCTTCAAAGCATACACAGTACTTCAACCTAAATGGGAAGAACTCATAAGGGTCAATTGAGACCTAATACACGGCAATCAACTACTCCAAAGTGAAAAGAAGCATGCACAAATCAACACATGAAAGCAGAAACAGAACTCAAGAAACTTTAAGAAAGAGAACAAGAATTGTTGAGTGAAATAGGCCAATTAAAGAAAAGGCATCAAATGATGAATCAATATACTAAAACACTTGAAAAAAATCTTGAAAGTCACTAAAACTCAACGTGACAAAACTAGTCTTGGATATAACAAGGCAAGGATGTTACAACATCACAAACAACATCAACCATATAGACTTACAAGACAGACTATCAAACGTCAAACCGTCCAAGAAATGATACGACTCATGCTAAATCACACGAGGATATCCCAAAAGTTCTAGGCAGAAGTAGTAAATATCGCATATCATTTGATCAATCGAATCTACTTAAGGCCAAGAATTAAACATAGAAACGGCTTCCCGAGCAATAGCATGGGCAACAGAATATATAACTTTTTTTTATTTATTTAGATACAAATACACAAGTAACACAACTAATCTTCTCATGGTACATACCTCATGTATTTACATAATTATTATACTTTATATATATATAACTTTAGAATTTAAAATCCATCCAAAAATAGCAAATCTCACTTTGGGAAGTGAGCACATTGAATAATACTGGCATTATTGTTTGGGCTTATGTTTAACCAGTGGCAATCCTCAAACGAGCATGCATCTCCACCGTTGGGCCACTCAATATTCTTCGGCTGGATGTAAATGGGTCCCCAAGTGGGGGTCCCATCCTCATACGAATTATGGGTTAATCTGTGCAAATCTGAGCCGTCGGATCTGATGATGAATATCTCGCCGTAGGGCTGATAATGATGAGGGTTGGAGATGGGCTCAGCTGATACGCCGCCGTAGTCGGTGGTGAACACCACGTGCTTCCCATCCGGGCTGAACCACGGGTGGTTGGTCCGCCCACCCGTTCCGCTCTGGACCAGTTTTCGGAGCCCCGTCCCGTTCGGGTGAATTAGAAACAACTCGAAGCTTCCAGAACCCGGGTTTTCCCGGTCCGACGCGAAGGCGATCCATTCGCCGTCCGGTGACCAGTTGCACATGGTATCACTCCATGGCCCCTCCGTTAGCCGGGAGAGCCCGCCCGTTTCTCCTTCCAGGGCGTCCATTATGTAGAGATTCTTGTGACCCGACCGGCCCGACCGAAATACGATCCATTTTCCGTCCGGCGAGGGTGAGGGGAACGCGTTGTTTTTCCCTCCGACCGTCAGCTTTTTGCGGCTCCGGCTCTCGTCGTCGACGTTGATGGCGAAGATATCAACGGCGGTGGTTACGCTCGCGAAATCGGGCCCCACACTGGTGTATATCACTCCTTTTCTCTTCGGATCCCACACTGTAGGGAAGGCATTTTCGTCGGATACTTTTTTCAGACCCGACCCGTCATGGTTCACTACATAGAGCCCGGGTAAATCCACATACGCGATCCGAGAACCGTCGGGCGAAAACGAAGGATATGAACCGTCGAACCGGAACAATGAGAATTCCGGTTCGGGTACTTGGTGTTGAACCGTTTCCAACAGTAAAGTGTTGCCTTTGCCGTTACCGGTTCCTCTACATTTATGGTACCCGACCCAAGACCCATCGGGGGAGAAAAACGGGTTTAAGTGATGCGTTTTCGGGGATACGGACCGGGTTAACTCGGTGAACCGGCCCGAATCGACGTCGAAGAGCTCTATGTGACGGTAATCTGAACCGGGTCTTCTGGTAGCCACAGCAAGGATGCGTTTATTGGCGGTAGAAACAGCAGGTGTGAACGCGTGCAAACCCGGCGGAGTAACTCGCTGAGTCACAACCGATTCAACACCGAGTTCGCCATTCTCGGGTAAAACCGCCATGAAAACGCTCCACCATCCATCGTCGCACCGCCTGTGGAAGTAAAGAGTGGAATCATCACCCCAAGCCGGCCACCCTCCATGCTCCACCACCTTCACCCGGTTCGACCCGTCCCGAGTCAGGAACACATAGATATCAGTACCGAGTTCCTCCACGTCCCCAGCCCAACCCGTCTCCCCGTACGACGCCACCGCCGTCCACTTCCCCGACGGAGACACGGCGGGGCTGAAATCCGCCGCCGAGTACGGCGTCAGCCTCCGAGTCAACCCGGAATCCAACTGAGTCGAGTACACAGCCGCCCAACTCGCCCGAGCCACACCCGGGTCCTCGTGAGTCGACACGTAGATCAACGATTCACCCACCAACGTCGGCTTATCCTTCATCGAAACCCTCCCGCCGGTCTGCTCAACGCCCACCAAAGGAACCTGAACCCGGTTCACCACACTAACCCTAGTTTCTTCAAGCACCGATCTTTTCCCCCCTTTTCCCCCATCCCCAGAACCACCATAGTAGACGGAGTCGAGGAACACGTGATGCGACCCGTTTCGCTCTGTAACGTAAACCAGATAGAAGGGCGGAGTGTTAATGGAGAGCAGAAGATCGGGTTGGCCGGAGACGAGAGAAGGGGGCAAGGACGAGGGGAAATAGCCGTTGAAATTCACGGATTCGCCGTCGGTCAACTGCAATTCGACGGATTTGGTGGGCGGTTGCGAAGTAGGGAGAGTGTAGATGTCGAAGGCGTAGCTGGATCTTCCGAGGGTTGTGAAAACTATGGAGGTACGTGCATTGGAGGTTCCATGGTCGGCCGATGAAGGGTAAAAGAAGAAGAAGAGGAGAAGAATGAACGATTTCATGGGTAGATCACAGCACAGGGATAGAGCTCAGTGACAGTGAAGAGTGTGGATGAGCGGCTGATCAGCTGTGTTATGTTCTTTTTAGTGAGTTCGGATAAGGTTTGAAATTAGAGAAAACAAAAATAAAAGGATATTTTTATATTCCCTCATCCCTCATTCCTCAAATATAATAATGTGTTTTGTATCTTAACACAATTCAATAAATTTATCAATCACAATATATCCATTGCATTTATCTCCTCACTTTTCTCTCATTAATACGGAGTATATATTATCAAGTTCAAATGAGAAGCTGCTTCTGATGAGAAGGTAAATTTTACTTTGAACAATGGTATAAAACAGTGCTGTTTCGATTTCTTTTAATGAAAAGAAACGATACCCGTTTTGTATAGTTAATTCTGGTTATATAATATATTCAGTTTCATTTTATATATATTATAGTTTAATTTTAACATTACTAAAGTTTCATTTTATTTCAACTACAGTTTCATTTCACAATATACACTCAATATGTGAGACATGTTATTCGGTTTTTTTAATACATATTGTAGACTTGTAGTTTCATTTCACTAAAATTAAACTATCATTTCAATTCGACTACAGTTCTATTTGACAATATACACTCAATATGTGAAATATGTTATTCAGTTTCATTTTATACATACTGCAGTTTCATTTCAACACAACTAAAGTATCATTCAATTCAATTACAGTTTCATTTGATAATATAAACACAATATACGAGACAAGTTATTCAGATTCATTTTAGATACACCATAGTTTCATTTTGTTATAAACAAACAAAAAATATGGTATTTGTTAAAAATTAACGACGGTCGTTTCTTTACTTAAAGAAACAACGCTATTTTCAAACCATGGTCCACGGTATAACAACCGCTATGAGAATAATACATATATCGTGATTAGAGTGTATGTTGCTGCACCCATCCAACATATTTATATTTTTTTTATTTTAAATGTTTTTCTAATTTAAATTTATTTTCTTTTTAGACAATGCATCTCGAAGAACTCTAATGTCTGCTAAATATCTTTCCTATTCCGAAAGAACATAGACAAATTGCATATTAGATATACATACACCTAATACATTTGTTACAATTTTCCCATTGCGAGATCAATATCTATGTTTATCTTATAATGACACATTTATTCTAATGAATATATCTAAAGTGACTAGACAATTCTATAAATAATATAAAATATTAGTAAATATATATATTTTCACATTGTAATTATATGTTATAAATCAACTGTAGGAGATGGGGGCTCCATATTTCTTTCTTGGCATGCATTGAAATTGTAGCTCGTGGTGGCGGTTTACTTCTTTATCAACGACACTACATGGATGACATTTTGAGGCGCGCAAGTATGGTGGATTACAAGCCTCTAGCTACGCCAGCATCAGTTGCTCGTGAGATTGAAGAGTCAACGGCTCTGTATGATGATTTGACTCAGTACCGTAGTTCGGCAGGGGCTATGCAGTATTTGACAGTGACTAGACCATACTTATCTTGTGCAGTGATCGGCTATGTCAGCATATGCACGTGCCCATGAGTGCAGACTGAGCTCTGCTTAAACGGGTTTTGCAGTGTTTATTGGCACAAACTTGATATCTTGGGTCTGCAATAAGCAGCGTACAGTGGCTCGGTCTTCTACAAAAGTTGAATATAAGGCACTAGCTGATGTATCTATGGAGGTTACTTGGACCGTGTCACTTATGCGAGAGCTTGGTGTGTCATCTCTATTTACTCCTAGGCTATGGTGTGCTAATCTTGACGCCACTTAAATGTGTGCTAACCCGGTTTTTCATGCTATGACAAAATATGTTGAAATCGACTATCACTTTGTTTGTGACAAGGTAGTCTCTAGAGATCTTCTGGTTAATTTTGTTTCAACTAAAGATAGCTAGTTGACATCTTTACTACTAAGCCGCTGCCTGCTTCACGTTTTGTTTTCATTTGAGGGACAAACTTCAGGTTGTCAGTGACCCTTCGCTTGAAGATGAGTGTTATGACTCTACAATCTCTAATCTAGTGTGATTTTATTTTTGTATATATATCTTTTTCCTGTTCCTTATTGCATTCTAAAATATTATTTAAAAACTTTATTCTCATCAAAGGATGGTAAAATAGAAAAGAAAATATATAGGCTATTCCTATAAATTCATGAATAACTTAATATTGGGGGTAATAATAACTATTCTTTTTGTTGAGGAAATAACTCATTCTCAAAAATATTATTCCTAAGAATAAAAATTCTTAGCAAACAAATAAATAGACATATCATCAAAATGTTATTGCATCTGACAAATTATCGTGTGAATCATAGTTCACACAATTTTATGAATCATAAATATAGGTAATTTTTAATTTTACTATATAAAAAAGCCACAAGCCTAGGAATACACAATAGAGCCAAAAATTCCTGCTCAAATAAAACATCGTCGTTTTAGTCGGATACGCAATTCATAGTATAATACATTTGTGTTTATTGTTGTAGTATGGCTTCGTATAACGAAAACATTAAGTAACATAAAACTGTTAGTATTCCCATGAGATATGATACAGAGTATTAAATATGCAAAGAAACCATTGCTAGCTTCGTATACCGGAAACATTAAAAGTAACATAAAACTGTTAGTATTCCAATGTGATATGATATTAAATATGCAAAGAAACCATTGGTATGTTTCCATTCTTTAAAAGCCTCTCTCATCTTTTGCCAGAACACAAGTTCATCTTTTGCCAGAACACAAGTCCTGCAGAAAGAGGAAACCCAAGTGTACGCCAAATCAAGGTATTTCATTCTTCCTAACTGCATAAAGCATCAGATTTTCTTATCATTATGTGTTACCTAAATTTATTTTGTTAACACTGTTGTTTAGAATTTTGAAAATGATGATAACTAATTGCAAGAAGTAAACACTGGGAATTTCCTTCTCTCATACTCTCTTCTCTGTTACTAGCAAGAAGTAAATTCACATAGAAGTATCATAGATGTTGTTAGGGAGTAGACAGTAAACTTTTTTGTATATTAACATTTTAGGAATACGCTCTGTGAATCCTAAATTTGATGTTGTGTAGTCTGGATCGATGAACCTTCCTTAACTGCTACGCCGATGTGTTCCTTAAAAAAAATAGAATTGTTAAGATTGCAAAAACTGGAGAAAACCTATAAGGTCATGTCTCCATGTCAGTAAATTGTAAAGCAATCTACTCAAAAAAGCAATTGGAGATAAACCTATCTCCGGACAGTTGTTAGAAGTGAAATGGAGGTTTATAGATATCCAAGCTGCAACAGCTACAACGATGTGTTCCTTCAAAAAAAAAATTGCGTTGATAAGATTGTAGAGTCTGGATAAAACCTCTAAGAACACGCCACCATTTCCTTAATTTGCAAAACAATCTACTCAGAAAGCAATTGGAGATCAAGGAATCTGTAAACTCATCTCCGATACTCGATAAAAGTGAAATGGAGGTTTCTAGATTTCCAAGCTGAGAACAAGAAAAGTGGAGAACGGGTCACCTTTACAGAGCAGTCAACCAAAGCTACATATTTCTCACACACATGTGTAAATAAATAAATAAATAATACTCTTGCAGCAACGGGAGGTTTAAAGGTATTTTAAGTTGGAGAACAGAGGTTTGGTGTTTTAAAATATGATATATATATATATATATTTTAAATGTAATTGCTGAAAGGCAGTAGTTTAGTAAAATCGTCAAAATAGGGTAGTAATAAAATGACAGCAGCAACAAACTTGCAGTCGCTGAGTACTGTGGTAAACATAGTTGCTTATGGTACGAGTGGTAAGAATTTATATGCAAACTTTGTTTACATATGATTGTTTTGTATTCTATATCTTTTAGGAATAAGGTTCAAATTGGCCATTGAACGTAACATGAAAATGCAATTAGGCCACTGAACGAAAAAAAAAGTGCAATTAGGCCATTGAACACTCAAAAAATGTGCAATTAGGCCACTGAACTCTCCAAACGTATGTAATTTTACCGGATAGCAGGTTACCATCAATTTTAGCAGGTTACCTGCTTACGTGGCAGCTTAGTTGGCATTTTTAATAATTTTTAATAATTAATTTTAATAATAAATTTTATAAAAAAATTGGAAAAAATGAAATAAAAAATAAAATAAAGTCGTTTTTATTTTTTTTTAATAAAAAATTATTATTAAAATTTATTAAAAATTAATTAAAATTTATTAAAAATGCCAACTCAACTGCCACGTAAGCAGATAACCTGCAAAAATTGAGGGTAACCTGCTATCAGGTGAAATTGCACATTTTTGGAGTGTTCAGTGGTCTAATTGCACTTTTTTTTTTTCGTTCAGTGGCCTAATTGCATTTTCAGGTTACGTTCAGTGGCCAATTTGAACCTTATTCCTATCTTTTATAAGTAGATTGAAGAATTTTTTAAAATCTATTTTTTAATTAGATGTTTTAAATTTTATTCAGTAAATATGTTTGATGGTTTTAGGGTTTTCGGGCCCAAGGAGGTCCAACACAACCTTTGGTCGGTGGATACACCTCTCGATAAAATGTACGTCTAACTCAGAGGTAATGCTAGTGCTTCGGAATTTCTTTGTTATTTCCCCCCTCTCTCGGGTGTCCGAAAATGTCTACCTTTTACAAGAATGGAGGAGCCTTTATATAGTGGCTCCTCCTCTGCCGACTTGAAGGCTCTTAATGGCCGACTTCAAGGCTAATCAAGATATGGAGTCGTTGGACGCCATTACTCGGTCGACCAACGACTCTCCTAGGCTTGTAACAGCCCGACCGGGTCCTGCCTTTAATGCTTCAACGGCTCTCTTTTAAAGGAACCCCTTTAATGCCCTCAACGGCTCCTCGAGCCGGGTCTTTTCCTGGGCTTGGGCCTCGGCCGACTCCTGGACTCGGCCCGATTGCTCTTTGGGCTCCTCCCGATGCTGACCCACTTCTATTTTCTTTGGGCCTCTATCTCTTGGGCCGGGGTCCTTACCCCATCAACTAGTCCCTCACTTTTCCATACCCGGTCCTCCAACCTGGGTTTGGAAAAGTAGCAACCGCTCGTCTCCTTTAATTACCGTATCCGTGCCCTGAATAACCCCTTGTAACGTCCGGATCGTTAGCCATTCTCCCCGGATCTCGCGGAGCCGTTGGGAT